ATTTTTAATTTGCCTTAATTGTAATAAATAAAATTAAGGATATATATTAAACTATATGAATGTAAATGAAATACAATTTTTTGTTGTGATTGTTTAACACAAGTTTGCTAATTTTGTTATAAGGAGCTTTCTGCTAATTTAATAGCTTTAATATATTCATTAATTATTCTGTAATATTTAATTTTTTTTTTTTTTTACATCTTTTTTAAGCAAATATGGAAGCTCATTATTTTAGCATGTCATATTTGTATAAGTTCAAGTCATCATGGAGCTGAAACTGAGGATAAATCCTGTATTTAGTGGCAATACTGTTAATAAAGAATAACATTTTTCAGATAGAGATTATATATATCAGAAAATCCATAGATTTTGGTTAATCATCCACCCAGTGAAGACTTAAAGGCTATGGCGGAAATGATTAAAAATAGAAAAACTCTAGAAAAGAACTCAAATCTTCAATGTATCATTTGGAACTGTTTTAAATCATTTAAGAGTAGTAATTAGCAAAAACAAAATAATTGGTGAATTGGTTTTCCTTTAAAAAATCAAGGAAGAAAAACTCAAATGCAAAGAAGCCAAGGCTGGGTTATGTCTAACAAGATTCAATAACTGGAAAAGATCTACATAATGGCTGAATGTGGAAGAGAAGTTGAAATAGCATTATCATATCTGGAAGGTGGTTGTGTGTATTTATGTCATAGCGCTCTCTTTAAAGTGGCCAAGCAATTATTGCACAAAGTATGGATGGAAGACTAGTTTAACATAGTGTATTCAAAATTCAAACAACTGTTTGGGGAACAGAGAAGTTATTTTGTTAAATTCTCATATTAGCAAAGTTCAATAAATTGTAGCTGAAGACTTAACCTCCCTTTGATAAATTACCATTTTTCCAGCCACCAGACTATTTTCTTACTAGCAAGAACTCCGAGATCAAATTAAAGAAACCTTCAATGAAATCATCTATTTTTTTTAAATAAAGAATTCTTTAAGAAAAGAACTGACAACTTGCTACCATGGTGAAATAAATGTATTGAGACTGAGTGTTTTGATAAATAATCTATAAACTTGTATACATCACCCATCCAACTCCAATTTTACAAAAAACATTTAGGAGACTTATCAAATAGGTTCCTTATAATCTTGCTCAAAAAATAAAATAGGAAGTTTTTTTTTTCAAATTATGAGCTGTGTCTTTCTTCAGAAAAAATATGAAATAGCATTTACCTAGCAACAATTACATGTACAAGACAATAAAAATGCAAAAACACTGGACAATATTGTCATTTTTATAATTTTGGGAATTTATTTTTTCTGAATGGGGATGTACAGTCCATAAGGTTTAATTCTCTAAGCTTCATATCTTTTATATACATTCTCAGTAACTGTTTTGTTCTAATCATATAAATGATACTCTTAGCTAAAAACTTAACATATTTGAATTCCTGTGCATCAGGCTTTGTTTAATTAATAAGACTGAAGAGAACGAATTAAAAGGAAAATATTCACTTAAGGCCACCATAAGTAATTACCAGGCTTCATATTTTATAGAAAGTACATTATCAAGATTTGCAAATAAGGAAAGATTACTTTATAATAGCATTTAATATACCTTGAGATAACTTGCTTGAGAAATTGGATTCCTCTGAGTGGAACTGCAGACAGCCTCACATTATTATTAAATTTGCAATAAAGTGAACAAGAATTTTGTCTGACAGTTAATTGTTGATCTTTTCTTTTTATTTCCATCAACTACCTTGTCTAATATTTTCAGTTCTTTTTTCTGAATCTACCATCAACACAAATCTGTATATGTGGTTATCATTACATCCACGAATAATAGATGTTGCCAGATCTTAGCACCATCTTGATGTTCAAATAAATCTACACCAACTGTTACTAAAATATGACAAAGTTAGATAAATATATATAACTAGCAGTAGAGCCTGGTGTTGCCCGGGGATATAACAGTAAGAGATAGATCAAGTATCCACCATCATAAAGACTGAAAAATAAAATTGACAAAGATTATTGTTTAAGGTTGACAGACACGCATGTCTTAATTTGTTTTTTTTTTTGTTTTGTTTTTTTTACGAATTGGTCAAACCCAAAGTCAAACAAAAACATTGTTTTCAATTGTTATGAGTCTCTACCAATTGAATAGAATTTTATTAAAAATAATTGTCTTGTAAATGGAATTTTTTAAAGCATTCTGAATGTAAAAAATAAAGAAAAAGTGTGCAAGACAATAAGAAACACTACATGCAAAAAAAAAAAAAAAAGTGAAGTTTTGTTGAAATCGGTTGAAAAATGTAGGTAGCCTTTCTGTAATCTTTTAGTTTTACAATTTATGATTTTTACTTATTGATTACAGTAAAAAAAATTGCATATTTTGCTTGTGGTGATTCATAATTAGAATTCTGATTTGAATATATTTTCCACTCGTTGTTTCTAATACAAAAAATATTAACTTTATTTGGGTTTATTATGATCTAACAAATCTTATTCATTTAGTAGCCTTTAATCTTTTACAATTTATGATTTTTACTTATTGAATACAGTTAAAAAAAATTGGACACCATGTGTATTTAAACTAAAGTAGTTTCCGGTTATTATTTTTAGTTAGGAGTACTTGTGTATGTTTAGATTTCATTATCATTCCCTAAAGATAAAGAATTATCCGATGTTTGGATTCGTACAATCAGTAGAGATCGTTAGATTATTGTTTAAGGTTGACGGACACGCATGTCTTAATTAGTTTTTTTTTTTTTTTTTTTTTTTTATGAATTGGTCAAACCGAAACTCAAACAAAAACATTATTTTCAATCGTTATGAGTCTCCTGATTGAATAGAATTTTATTATAAACAATTGTCTTGGAATTTTTAAAGCATTCTGAATATTAAAAATAAAGAAAAAAGTGTGCAAGAGAATAAGAAACGCTACCTGCCAAAAAAAAAAGGGAATTTTTGTTTCATCGGCTGAAAAATGTAGGAAATCCGATCCCATATTTAAAGGAACCCACACACACAAACAACCTGATGTGAGTTGTCCCCCTTTCATTCTCACGATGTTTCTTAATCGTGTTTTCAAATTGATTTTGTGCAAAAACAATTGTATTTTTCCCCATTTTTGGCGCTGTTAGAACCACCACAAGGTAATTTTATGTAGTCCTGTGAAGTTTTGAAAAATGTAGGCAATCCGATCCAATATATAAACGTTACAGACACACAATCTGCATTTTATAATAAGTAAGATTAAACACACACATTATATATATATATATATATATATATATATATACACACACACACACACACACACACACACACACACACACACCAGTTGTAACAGCAAAACTGTTCAATTGTTAGATTAAGCTTTGAACTGCTGTATTGTAGAAATGATTAAAGATATCTTACTGGAATTCTCCAATGTTTTTATAACACTATTGGACTCTGCTTTGAGCAATAAGAATGTATAATTACTCTCCAACCTTAACAGGAGAATCATGATGAAATCAAACAAATGAAAATGACATGTTCATCATTAATTAATCATAGCTAAGGATTGGAAGCTCATGAAGGATTGATATAAAGTTGAAATATATATATATTATTTGAGATCATTTTCCAATTATTCCAGGACAGAAGTTTAGGGAGCAAAGAATAAGGTGACTCAAGAGATTTCACATATGATTTCATTTCCAAGTCTTTTTTCACTGCTCTTTGTACTGTCAGAGCTGAAACTCCTCACATGTGCCAAATGTCTTATGGATTGAGTTGGATCTTTTCTAACTGATCTCTTTAGCTCTAAGTTTGAATGATGATCCCTCTTGCTGTTATAACCTCCTGATCCAGTTTCCTCTCTACTATTCCCTCTATTTTAAACTTATTCACTGTTCACTTGATGGTTCTTGAATGGATTTTGAAGATGGAAGCCAGGGTATGAATGTTGGTACCATTACTGAAAGCCTAAATGATCTTTTTCCTTTCACCATAGCTCAGTTGGGCTGATATAAAATGATTTTAAACTGTTGTCTTTCTAGCTGAATAACTCAAAGTGTTTCTCAGTGATTCTTACAACAAATTGTGTCAACATGCACACAAAAGAAAAAAAATTATTGCAAAATAATTTGTGTCTACTTAAATGAACTCACAAAATATAAAATGAGATCAACAATATTGTAACTGAAAATAATTACCCACAAGATATCTCAAAATATAAATCAAAGACTAAAATTAAATAATTTTCCATGCTTTTTAGAGAATCTTTGATATATAAAAATATGAAATAATAGTTTAAATTGCTTTTTACTTATAAATTGTTTTGTGTCAAAAGAACATTTTATTTTCTTAAAAAGAAATATGAAAATGTTTTTTTGTAGACACTGTTACCCCAGTACTTTGACATATAAAACAAAAAAATGAACTTGATCATCTCTTATAGCTAGTTCAGTGTCAAACTAAGTTTTTAATAATTACTAAGAGTATATAGCAAGTAACTAAAAACTGGCAAATAACTTCTGCAACCATGGACTTATAGCATAATATAGATTTCATGGAACTAACAAAGTAAGAACAGAGGACTTAGATTATATAAAGGGCCCAGTTCAAAATTCCTTGAAGGTTACCTGGATCAAAGTCACCTGAAGAGAGCCAGAGAACATAATGGTTGAAAGGTTGTGATAACAACAAAGATGAGAACTGTAAATAATATAAACTAGAAAGCCCATTCTTCTCCTACTGAGGTAGAAGAAATGGATTCATACCTTTCCCAAGAGTATCTATGTGAAAGTGCATGCCATGATCACAGCTGAAATTTGAACTTGCTATGCCACTCCCACTTTCTAAGCCAATATGTGCTTGCACACACACACACACAAATATTTAAAAGATGCATGCTACTTGCTTTCATTTCTTAATCACTACAAATTCTATAAGTACAGGTTTGTTCCACAGCCAATAATTTATACAAAAAAGTTTGTTTTTTTAAAATTTTAAATTCAGAGAATAAGAGAGAGAAATACAGGGAAAGAAAACAACAGAGGAAGACAGAAAAAGGAGGATGCACTATGATGGAATGACATTATGTTTGGTTTTCATTACATACTCATCATATAGAAATTTTACATTGTTTGTTTTTTTTTTTCAAATGAACGGTCTCAATTGGAGTATTTAATTTTACAAGATTTTCCATTTCACTAAAGCAGATGTTAAACAGATGGGAATTGCCTCCCTTATCTAATCTTTCTTAATGCTAACATTTTTTTTTAAATTAATTTCTATCAAAAGATATATTGTGTAAGTTATTAAGAGTTAAGAAAAATTTTAATTACAAAATTAAAATCCAGCTGATTTTTAATAATTTTCTTGTGATAGAGAACTGAAAATTTAATGATGGTATCACTATTTAAGTCTTCTCATCTGCCAAAATCTTAAAATAACATAGTGCAGTGAGACCATTTTTTTAAAAAATATTCTATCTTCTTTTAAATGTGCTTTAAAGAGAGAATATAAAATTTAACTTTAATTAAAATGTATTTTTATGTTGCTTTCCAGATTTCTATTTTCCTACTTAACTGAAGTCATATAAATAAAATGAAATAAACATTAACACACTCAAACAGATTTGTTACAGATTGTAACTTCATTTATCATGTGAAATATGTGCAAAATATCATAATCCTTTTATGTAACATAAAGCATGATAACCGCACATTACCTAAAGTGTGATAATTGCTGCTAACTGTGATATTAGCTGCCTGTAACAGTTATCATTGAATAATAGAGAATTGGCAAGTTGAGTTCAAATTCTGGCAGAGTCTGTTATGTTCATTTTTATACTAATGCGCTCATGAAAAAAAGCATAAATCCATATCCTCTCTCTTGACCCTTGAGAGAGCAAGGCAGACAGGGCTGTCTAACCTTGGATGACAACAATCTAGAAGGACAAATCAGAATTCAAAATAGTGGGAAGGATGAAACCATTCAATGTCATCTCATCCTGAAGGAATATGGCATATATATATATATATATATATTCAAAATAACAATTGGGGAAGGCAACTTGTTTTATTTCAAATAAACAATCCTTTAAAACCCTAATTCTCATTTTATGATTTAGCTTGTCATAAATTTTAAAAGTCATCCTTGAAATGAACAAGAACGTTTTTAATTTATTTTAAAAAATAAAATTAGGGTTTTAAATATATATATATATATATATATATATATATATATATATATATATATATGAATATATATATAAAATTTTTATCTTATTGTTCTTTTTTTTTTATATATATACATATATATATATATATATAATATATATATATATATATAAATATATATATATATATATATTTTAAAAAAAAAAATCATTTATTTTAATGAAAATATTTAACAAAAATACAATAATATATTAACAGTAGATATTTTATTTTTAAATTAAAATACTAGTTATATAAAATACAGTTATAAGGCTTTTTAATGTTGTGACTAGCTATTTCGTGGGAGAATAATGAAATTATGCTTACACACACACACACACACACACACACAAAAGAAAAAAAATTATTTTGATTTAAAAGTCTGTTATAAATATTGTATCTAAGTTTAAAAAGATGGATAAAAAGGACTAGTTTAATTATTTTATAGTTCACTCTTAAGAAATAAAATGAAAAATCTATATCAGAACATATCACAAATTCATTGAGGCATACTTCATTTCAGCAGCATGCATTAAGTTACTTTAGCAGTGATTTTCCTTTCTGTTCAATATCTTTTAATTTTCATTTCCTTATTCTTAAAATAAATTCCAGACAATTTGAGTCTATTTTGATGAAATTGGAACACTGCGTTTCCGCAATATGATACTATCATCTATGCAGTTTTCTTCAGCTCCAATATTTTCCACGCTGATTCCAGTTCCTGCAAGTGTTGCTTCATCACAGTCTGTTTGATTAATGTTAAAATCATTTTCATAGTCTTCTCCAAACTTGGTACAAAGTAAATTATCACCATTTACTGACGGCTCTGAATTTTTTATATCGGACTGGTTTTCATCAATTTTTCTACCTGTATTTGTCACTGACAAAATACTTTCAACTTCAGGAGAATTGCGGGAGCCTCCATTTTCATTCAGTAAGGAATAATCACTACTTGCTTCACTTCCATTGCTATTTGTTGCCAGTACTTCATAACTTTCAAGGTCAGGATTAGAATCTGAAGGAACAACATTGCTCTGGAAAAAATGAAGGAAGATTAGGAGAAAATATAGGAAAGAAGGGATATAAAAAATAAAAAAAACTTATGCAAATCTTTATAAAATACATTTTTCAATGAAATAAATATGATATTTTTAATAAGAAACATGAATTTCTACATTGTTTCAGGCTTGACTAAATATTAATTCTATAATCTAAAATTTTATAAAATGAAAATTTAAAAACATACAATGAAAAAGGATGCTCAGCAAAGATATTTAATAAGGCAAAAAAAAAAAAAAAAACATTGCAAAAATATAATTAATAAAAGAGAAACAATATATTACTCAAAAGAGTTAAGAAATATAAATAGTAACATACGTTTTCACATTTTTCACAGTGTTTATCCTCATTTTCAGAAATTTCTGGGCATTTCTCTTCATGAACATTTGGATTTTCTTTAGTTTCGTCATTTGAAGTTTGTGCACACTCATGTATATTACTGTTTGCAGATGCTCGATCCACAACCCCACTGACATGCTGCTGGACTGATTGCATAGCTTGAAGAATTCTTGTCATTTGACTTTCTGTCTCTTCTAAGCGTTGCTGTAGTTGCCGCATTTCAAGTTCAGCTAATCATAGTGGAGAGAGGGGAAAGAAGAAAAGGAACTTTAAATTACACATAAAATATAAAAATGAGTGCTTTAAATTTACAACAGGAAATAAATATGTACAATATTTAAAAAAAACTTACAGTATCAAAAGTAAGTATATTCAGTATTATGTAAAAAAATATGTAATTTAATGAACAATTAAACATTCTTATTGTACCACATTTGTTGAAAAGCATTCAATAATGATTAGATCTATTTTTTTATATGAATCATGTGCTCATTCTTTTGATTAGTGCTTAAATTCTGTTGAGTCCAACAAAGCAAAACTGATCAATTTTGCTGTATGCCAATAGTTTTTACTCAAAAGAAAGTTCCGTCAGTCAGTTATGTGCCATATGTGATACACGCTTAAGCAATCATGTATCTTTTGATACATGACTGACGAGGCAGATTTTTTCCCTGGAGAAGGTTGCCATTTCTTTCTGCAGTAGACCTGTTGCCATCCAAGGCTAGAGAAACCAGTCTGTCCTGCTATTTACCCATAGCTGTGGGGAGAAGAAAAGGATTCATACCTTTCTCAAGCATGTAAGTGAATGTAATGGATTCAATTGGATTTCTAACTTGGCTCTCCAAAAAGAAAGTAATCCATCCTAATACATGATATAAATGCAACATCTAATATTATCTATTTAATAATAGATGATATTAGAAAAAAACTGAATGTAACATATTTTTCATAGAAAAAACTGAATGTAACATTTTTCTCCCGTATTGAACCATAAAAATGTTCAAATTATTCTGAATGTATTTCAAACCCCCATCCCACCCTATTGTTAATACACCGAAAAGAAAAAGGTTTTATTTTAAATTGGTATTTGGGCAGAGAGGATCACCTGCAACATGCCACCACAACCTCTATAAATGCTGAACTGTCATGTTTTCTTTACAAGTGATAATTCCTGAATATCTGATAACTTCTCAGTATAAAAAGATTTTTTATTTTTCTAAGCTACATAGCCTAAATCATTTCAAAAACAAAATATTGTATGAAAATAATTCAAAATAAAAAATGAATTTGCCAACATTCATTTCAATTTCTTCAATAAGGTGATATCTAATCATTCACAGACTTTATTTTGAATTGATCAATATTATTTTTTTACATTTGAGCTTGATATGTTACATGGAACATTGAAAGATACAAAAATTAAAATGAAAACATTTTAGCATAAGTTTTCAATTTAGATTGACTACTGAAAAGTTTGAATGAAAACTTTTCAGTGAAGAAGCCTAACTTTTTAAATATGGCTCTCAGTGTTTCTTTAATCTAGGCAGTTTTGGACAGACTGTATAATAAATAGAATTTCTATGAAAATGTCCAAAATTTAAAAAAATCTCAAATTCATGATAGATAAAACAAACAACTATCAGATAAAAGACCAATGAGAGCATTAGCTGATGGTCACTGCTATAAAATAGGAACCTCCACAAAATTTGAGAGGTTCAAATTAATTTTTAAAAATGAAAAAGCTTTCTTGAAGCTTTCATTTTAACTTTAATTGAAAGCTAAAGGATTAAGATTGGAATCGATTTTCATTTATTTTTTCATTAACATCATCAGTCATCCATTTTTGAGATATTTGTAAACACAAGTTATGTCTTGGTTTTAAAAATCTTGCAAAAATAAAATATACTTTTCTGAAACTCTATTTGAAGAATATTATCAGATTTAAAGTATAATTAATCTGATTTTAAACAAATATTACTTTAAGTTTAAAATATCACAGAAATTAATTTTTTTAACCAAACAATAGCTGTATTTGTAACCGACAGTAGCCATATTTGACGTGCTATAACCCTCCTTGGTCGTCCAAGACGTCCAATACCATGGCTGATTGATGGAGTGATCTCTTCAATCCTGGACCTGCCTTATCCCACATTGTGATTTGGTTTGATCATAAGGAGACCAAGATTGACTCATCACAGGTATCTTTGTATTGGGCTAGTCCAAGCAAGGCAAAGATGCACAGGAAAACAGGAGAAAAATAACTCAAATAATATAAAAATGTATATATACTGTTTTCATATCAAGTGCTATGTACAATAGTTGGTTAATTGTTTTTAAGGTGTTAGGATGCAGGCGTTTGTTGACCCAACCTGCTTACTAAATCAGATGTGACACTTCGTTAAGCTGGCAAGGTTTGCTTTGCGGACATGGTAAAGTTAATTTAGCTAACTTGTTAAGTTTGGCTCAAGCCTGATGTTGGGGGTTCATGTTGGCAAATGGTCACATGTGCTGTCTCACACCCAGTGTTTGTAATGAACTCTTGGGACGATCTCTCTCAAACTTGCTTGTGGCATTCGTATTTATTGATGCTTTCTCAAAATTGGTGTGAGGTGGGTAGGTGTCTAGCATTTTTCTCTACCTGTCACAAAGAACACCTTCTCCATTGCCTGGGTTCTTGGAATTAATTACTTCTTAATTTGAAAGTCTCCTCCTTTTCTTGGTGATGTCTGTAGGTCCTAATCCCCACACCCCAAATTCTTCTTTGCATCTCCCACTAATATCCCTCTGTGGACATAGTAGCTTCTCTTCTCTCCTTAGGGTCTCCTCTGCACCTGCTACTCTTCAGTGGGCATGGGCAGCTTCTCCTACTTCCTTGGTCTCTCTTCTGCACCTTTCACCTCAGCCACCCAGCAAAGACTAATTCCATGTTCATTAATTAAAAAGAATTATTACCCTACCACCAGTGTTGGTTTTTCCTGGTCTCAAAGTTGAACATAAAACAGATGGCCTTTTCCAAGGGAAAACCTTTATCTTTACAATATATTTTGCTTTTTTGTTTTTTTTTCCCAACCACCTCTGCCTTCGTGGCTAGCATCATGGTGACGGTCATTCATCAAAATGTCAAAATATTGCCATGTATTTCTATTATAAAAATTAAGTCAAGAAATTATTATTTTCAAACCTGTCGCTTCTGCAGAGAAATTCTCCAAGTCAGTTTTATATATCTTTGTGGGTGGAAATCAGACAGGTCACATGGCCCCTTTGTGTCCTTCAGCTTGTGTCAGAGACACTCCCTAAGTAAAACTCATCTCCAAATTGTTATTTCAAATTTTATTCAACTCTCTTCACCTTGGTTCCACAGACAATGCTCTTGGCAAACATTATTAATCAATTGTCAGCATATTGTCCATCATAAAAATTAAGTGTTGCTCTCAGCCAATTGTCTGGTTCGTTTTAGAAAATTTGATTTTCTGAATCAGTATATTGTTCTTGCTATCCAAAAACCTTATGCATATTTACCAGCAACCAAAATAGTGCCACATATTTACTTGTTTGACTAATGTTGTTCAGAGATTTTATCTATAAAACATAATTTAAGAAAAATGATGTGAGCACCTTTTTATATAATTTTTAAGTACTCAGTAATCTTAAAAATTTAGGAAAATATTCTCTGTAATCTAATGTTTTATTGAATTTTAGAAATTTTTTAGCATGTTTATATATACACACACAAAAAAAATTTTTTTTTAAATCTTGGTGCATGATGATCTGTATTAAATTTCACCATTTATGATTTTCACTTAATATCATCTAAAAGGCGGAAAGGAATACAAAATTTTAAGATTTAAGACTTATAATTCTTGTAAAAATTTCATTATTCATCGGAAAAAAGTGTTCTTAATATATCTTATTTATAAAAGCAATTAAAAGTTTTTCAAATTAAATTATGGCAGTTTTATTGCATTTTTTATTTTATGATTTAGAGCAGATTTTTCATCAATAAGTAAGTGTTCGGAAAAAAAAAAAAAAAAATTGATGAATTACATTCACTGTTTTAACTAAGATAAAAAATATCTGGATCAAAATTTAATTTCTCAAAATATAAAATTAAGTAAGTAGTGGTAACAGCTGTGTAAAAAAAAATTCATTCATTTGTGAAAAAGGCTTGAAAATCTGATTAAAATCCAACAATTTGATTTTTGCAAGAATTTCCAAAACAATACATTTTTTTTGTTACTGCAAAAAAGACACTAAATTTCCTTGGCACATTGCTGATGAAAAAAAATAAAAATAAAATAGATAAAATAAATAAATAAAAATTAACCAAAATTTCAAACTTGCTAGAATTAAAAAAGAATTAATAAACTTTGGTCTTTCCTCTTAAACATTTTTAATAAAACTTTATTTTCATCAACTTTGGGGCCTTTTTCATCATGCTATGCACTTTTTTTAGTGAAAATGTGGAAGTACCTACTATATAAGAATGTAATGCTAAAAGTTCCAAACTAGCAGAAACAGAAAAAAAATTCTAAAATTTGACACTAAAATCAGAAATTTAAATAAATAAATAAAAACATATTCAAGTGATTTTTTTTTATGTAAAGGTGAAGGAGTTCAATAGAGTAAGGTGTGAGGAGTAGTTTTATCCAGTAGTTTTATGCCAATAAATTGCTTTCATAAAAAGCTAAAATTTTAGGTGACATTCTTTTTTTTTTTATTAGAATTTTCAAATGTGAAGAAAAAAATAAATGAGAATCATCATTTTACTAAGTTTGTGAAAGTAAAGAAGTAATAAAATCCTCTGATTCAATGGAGTTAAGGAAAAGGATGTAGCCTGTAGGTTTAGGTAGGAATTAAGAACTAAATCATAACATGGTTTATTTTATTTATGTTACTTAAAACACTTCTGAAAACATCAACCTACAGAAACCTCTTACACAAAATATTAATTTTTGTATAGTAAGGTATATTTTACTGAATACATTTTCAAATTTTAGAATGTTACATTATTAGGTTTGTGTCAAGGTAATACCTAAACAGGCCAAGAAAGTATATGCAAATATTAGCCAACTGGGAGCCAATGATTTTAAGTTTAGCACATAACAAAAAGCAATTGCTGAAATTACCATAAACAATTTAGCCTATTTAAAAAGAAATATTTACATTTATTATTCAAGACACTAAAAGTAAGTATATAGTTTATTTTCTTAGAAATTGTAGTATTTAATTT